GCTGCTGCTGCTGGCTCTGCTGCTGCGCCCCTGAGGGGAAGCCCCCCGAGCCGGGCAGGAGACCGCCCATGTTGCCGAGGAGACTGTTGCCCCCGGCGCTGTTCCCTCCCGCCCCGGCGCTCCCGGCGACGGTTGCCATGGAGAGCAGCGAAGAGGAAGAGGTGCTGGAAGAGGAGGAGGAGCAGGAGGAGGAGCAGGAGGACGGGTTGCCGTTCTTCACTGGAGACTGAGAGGAGAAGTGGCAGGGGGAGAGAGAGCGTTACTACGGCGCGCTGGCCCCACACTGCGCCGAGAGAGGCGGGAGGAGTGAACAGCCTCACCTGGCTGACCTCGCTGTCCGTGGAGCGGCCACGCTTCTTGTCATCCTCCGAGTTCTCCTGGAAGAAAGAGAGGAGTCAGTGCACTCGGGACAGGCCGGGACCTCCTCTCAGGAGGAGCTGGTGCTGACCGGGGGCTCACCGTGGTGCAGTTGGCTGGCGATGGTGGGATGGGCGAGGACGAGGTGGTGGAGGTCGGGGTGCTGCTGGACTGGTTGAAGATCTCGTCCTCCATGTGAGAGTGTCCCGGAGGAGACGTCGCCACCAAAGACTGGGCTGCAGAGGGAGAGACAGAGTTCGCCATCACACCTGACCCATCCTCACACACACCCCGACCCATCCTCTCACACACACACACACCTGGACCCACCTTCACACCCTGTCACCCACCCTCACACACACACACAACCTCTTATACTCTCAGACACCCAGACTGACAGACACGTTACTACGGTCTTCACGTACGGATGTCTTCCAGGTCAAGGTCGTCGTACAGGAACTCGTTCTCCTCAAAATCGGGGTCCTGCGAGGAGTCCAGGTAGTATTCCACATCGTCCTTGATCTTGCGGATCGACTCCACCTGCACAGAGTCATTGTCCAGCATCCGCAGGATGGTCTCCAGCATCCGGATGTGGTAGCGGTGCTTCTCTATGAAGCGCTTAAGCTCCTCAATACGGTCCTGCTTCTGCACAGACACAGGGGGTCAATACAGTGGTGATGCTGCAGACAGAGGTCAGGGCTGCACAGACACATGGGTCAATACAGTGGTGATGCTGCAGACAGAGGTCAGGGCTGTACAGACACAGGAGGTCAATACAGTGGTGATGCTGCAGACAGAGACGTCAGGGCTGCACAGACACAGTGGGTTCATACAGTGGTGATGCTGCAGGCAGTGGTCAGGGCTGTACAGACACAGGGGGTTCATACAGTGGTGATGCTGCAGACAGAGACGTCAGGGCTGTACAGACACAGGGGGTTCATACAGTGGCGATGCTGCAGACAGAGGTCAGGGCTGCACAGACACAGGGGGTCAATACAGTGGTGATGCTGCAGACAGAGGTCAGGGCTGCACAGACACAGGGGGTCAATACAGTGACGATGCTGCAGACAGAGGTCAGGGCTGTACAGACACAGTGGGTTCATACAGTGGCGATGCTGCAGACAGAGGTCAGGGCTGTACAGACACAGTGGGTTCATACACTGGTGATGCTGCAGGCAGTGGTCAGGGCTGTACAGACACAGGGGGTCAATACAGTGGTGATGCTGCAGACAGATGTCAGGGCTGTACAGACAGGGGGTTCATACAGTAGTGGTGATGCTGCAGACAGAGGTCAGGGCTGTACAGATACAGAGGATTAATACCAATTGAGCTCACTGTTCACAGCAGGCCTGGATGCACATCGACAGAGACACAGCAAGGGACAGACTAACCTCTTTGTCTCCCTTCTTCTTCCTGGTCTGGACAGAAAGAGACTCCACCTCACTCTCAAACTGGTCCACCTGCATGTTGAGAGTGTCGATCGTGTTCTGAGGAAGAGAGAACCGTTAGCACACGAACACCCAACACGTCAGCAAAGCAACGCCACCTGGTGGAGGAAACACGCACCGTCAGCCACTGCCCGACTTCCTCCTTCTCCTTCTGCGCCGGGTCCACCTTCTGTGCGAGTCCCAGGCCCTCCTTAGAATAGGCCTTGGTCTTGGTCTCGCGCTCCACGATCTTGAAGCGCTCCATTTGCTGTGGGTAGAGACAGGAGCTGGGG